ATGGTATTTGCAATGTATAAGTTGTTGGTCTTGCAAAATTCTCTCATACATTCTCCAGTATCCTTTCTATCACCAAGGCCATATTTTCCAACTACTGATCCTTCCTGTTTATGTGAAACGTCCACATTCCAGTCACAGTAATTATCAATTTATCTTGATTGCATGTTTGATCGATTTCAAACTGAAGAAATTGGTAGAATTCTTCAATTTCATCACCACTACTAGCTTTAGTGGTTATAGGAGCTCTGGTAGTATAGTGGTTACGAATTGGGCCGCTAACCTCAAGGTCAACAGTTTGAAACTACCAACAGTTCCATGGAAGAAAGATGAGGCAGTCTGCTCCCATAAAGATTTACAGCCTCGGAAACCCTATGTAAGGTCACTATGAGTCAGAAACCAACTCCACCGTGCTTAACAACAGCTTTAGTGGTTGGTGCATAGATTTGAATAATAGTGACATTAGCTGGGCTTTGTAGTAGGGTATAGATATGATCCTATTACAGACAGCATTATATTTCAAGATAGATCTTTAAAAAAAAAAAGCAAAAATTTTTTATTGTGAATTGAGTGAAGGTTTACAGAACAGAACAGTCTCTCATTGATCAAATTATACACCTTGTGTCATTACAATGATTGCAATCAACTCCATGTAACATCAGTTACCAGTATTTACCTTTATTCATATTATTTTTCCCTCCTCCTCCCTGCCCTACCCATAACCATCTTAGACTGTTTCATTTAGCAAGAAAATATTTTGTTACCTTTTTACAACAGTTGTTGTTGTTAAGTACCGTGGAGTCGGTTCCAACTTATAGTGACCCTGCACAGGGTTTCTGAGGCTGTAAATCTTTACAGGAGCAGAAAGCCTCATCTTTCTCCTGCGAAACAGTTGGTAGTTTCAAACTGCCAAACTTGAGGTTAGCAGCCTGATTCATAACCACTATGCTACCAGAGCTCCTTTTTACAACAGTAGCCTAATGCAATATTTGTCTTTTTGTGGTTGATTCATTCAACAATTCATCCGATTGTTGTTTTGATTTGGCTAATGATTGTGAGCATTTCTTCGTGTTTGTTGGCTGCCTGAATGGCTTCTTTGGTGACATGTTTGTTCATGTCACCTGCCAATTTTTAAATTGGATCATTTAGCTTCTTATTACTGAGGCATTGAAGTGATCTGCAAATTTTGGGGGGTAGTCCTTTGTCTATTGAAGAACATTTTTTAAATGTCAAACAGTTTTTCCAGTCTGTGGGTCCTCTTTACTCTTCTGATGAACTCCTTTGACGCACATAAGAGTGTAATTTTTAAGAAGTCCCAGTCATCTATTTTGACTCCTGTTTGTGAGTTTTAAGTTATGTGTGATAGTGTATTTATACCATTCACCAGAGCTCCTCATTTTTTCTCTATTTTTTCATTGATGATCTGTATAGTTCTAGGCTTTACATTCAGGTCTTTAATCCACATTGAGTTCATTTTTGTATATGGTGTGAGATATGGGTCTTGTTTCATTTTTTCTGCAAATGGATTTCCAGTTTTGCCAGCATTGTTTCTTGAAGAGACTCTCTCCTCCATTTGGTGCATGTTGGCTGTTTGTTGAAGATCAACTGACCATAGGTGGATAGCTTTACTTCTGAATTTTTGCATCAATGTTCATGAGGGATATTAGTCTACTTTTCTTTCTTAGTGATGGCTTTGTCTGGTTTCGGTATCAGAGTTATGCTTGCTTCTGTCCATTTATCTGTTCTATTGAGCTATATGAAATGTGTTCAAGTACCAAGCTGTTTTGACTACTGGGACTGGGTAGTAGGTTTGAGACTGGGAATTGAGAGGCCTCCTACTTTGTTCTTCTTTTTTAATAGTGCTTTGTTTATTCAGGGTCTCTCTTCTTTCCATATAAAGTTAATGAAAAGTTTTTCTATCTATTTAAACAATGATGGAATCTGAACTGGGATAGCATTATATCTAGAGATTGCTTTGGTTATCATTGACATTTTCACAATATTAAGCCTTTCTATCCATGTTGTTGTTTTTAAGTGCCGTTGAGTTGATTCTGACCCATAGCGACCCTGTATAGGATTTTCCAAGGAGTGACTGGTGACCTTGAACCACTGACCTTACAATTCAAATGACTTTGCAGTCTAGAGCACTAACCCACAGCGCCACACCAGGACTCCTTCCTATTCATGAGAAGGATATATTCCCCCATTTCTGCAGGTCCTTGTTGGTTTCTTGTATTAGTGTTTTATAATTCTCTTTGTGTAGGTTTTAAGTTTCTGTGGTTAGGTTTATTCCCAAGTATTTAATCCTTTGGATGACTATTGTAAATGGTATTGTTTTTCTGATTTCCTTTTCGGAGCTCATTTTATTAGTGTAAGGGAATCTATTTGATTTTTGTATGTTAATCTTATACTCTGCCCTTACTGAATCTATCAATGAGTTCCAATAATTTTCTTGTGGAGTCTTCAGAATTTTCAAATTATAGGATCATATTATCTGCAAATAGAGTTTATCTTCTTCTTTGCTAATTTGGATGTCCTTCAGGTCCCTTTCTTGTTTTATAGCTCTGGCTAAAACTTACAACATAATAGTGAATAGGAGTGGTGATAAAGGACATCCTTACCTAGTTCCTGTTTGCAAGAGTATATATACAAACCCAAGGTCTGTATACAAAGGTATATATACACAAAACCAAGGTATATACACAAAGGTTTTGTATTATATCTTTTGTATGTGTACCTTGGTTTTGTATATATACCCGTTTGAACTGCACGGTACTTACCAGCTACTCCTCGGCAACCCTATACAGACTCGCTATGGGTTGGAACCGACTTGATGGCACTTAACAACAACAAAGGTATATATACAAAAACAGTTATATATACCCTGTTTTCAAGGGTATATATAAAAAACCAACAGCCAATATCATTCTCAACTTCAGTTTCTCACCATTGAGAGTGTGATACTGGCTGTTGGTTTTGTATATATACCCTCAACTCTGTTAAGGAATTTCCCTTCTATGCTTATTTTGTTTAGTGTTTTTATCAGGAAAGAGTGTTGGATGTTGTCAAATGTCTTTTCTGCATCAATTGATATGATCATGTAAGTTTTTTCTTTGTTTTATTTATGTGGGGGATTACATTGTTTGTTTTTCTAATGTAGAATCATCCCTGCATCACTGATATGAATACCACTTGGTTATGATGTATTATTTTTTGATATATTGTTGAATTCTATTTGCTAGGATTTTGTTGAGAATTTTTGCATCAATGTTCATGAGGGATATTAGGCTATACTTTTCTTTCTTAGTGATGGCTTTGTCTGGTTTCAGTATCAGAGTTATGCTTGCTTCGGTAAATGAATTTGGGAGTTTTTCATCCTTTTATCTATTATGGAATAATTTGAGTAGAATTGGTGTCAGCTCTTCTCTGAATGTTTGGTAGAATTCACCAGTGAAGTCATCTGGGCCTGGACTTCTTCTACTTGGGATTCTTTTAAAAACTTGATCAATTTCTTCTCTGATTTTAGGCCTAGTCAAGTTTTCTACTTCATCCTGTGCTGGTTGAAGTGGGTCCTGTGTTTCTAGAAATGTGCCACTTCTTTCAGATTTTCAAATTTGTTGTGATACAATTCTTCATAGTATTGTCATTATCCTTTTTATTTTCATGGTTTCTGTCATGATGTCACCATATCACTTCTCTTTTGTTAGATTTTCCAATGCTTTATCAATTTTATTAATCCTTTAATAAAAGGATTACTTCTTTAATTAAACCAACTTCTTGTCTTGTTGATTCTTTTTATTTTCTATTCCGCTTATCTCTGCTCTAACTTTTATATTTGTTTTCTTCTGGTGGCAGTTGGCTTACTTGGCTACTTTTTATCTAATTGTTAGAGATATTTGGTTAAGGTGTTGATTTTGGTCCTCTCTTATTTTTGTATGTGTGCATTTACTGCCCTCAGAGCACTTCTTTTGCTGTGTCCCATTGATATTAGTAATTTGTGTTTTTGTTCTCATTTGACTCAAGGAATTTTTAATATTTCATTTTTCATTTGATTTATTACCCAGTAGCAGTGGAGAATTTCTGGTGTGGCACTGTGGAACAGCTCTGGACTGTGAACCACAAGGTTGGAAGTTCAAACCTACCATCTGCTCCTTGGAAACCCTATACAGGGTTGCTATGAGTAGGAACTGACTCGACAGCACTTAACAACAACAACAACACTTAACAATATGCCAGGGTTGACAAATTGGTTTTCAAAGTAATGGTATGCTTCTGAAATAATTAACTCTCATTTGCATTCAAACAGCTGAACACACCAACATGGCACTAGTTACATATATGATCAACAAATTCATACATTTTGTTTTCAGTTTAGTTCCAGAGCTATTTTAAACAGTATTTTCAGGCTGTAGGATAAACACTAGACCACAAGGTCTGTTAGAACTGCAAGGTCAGCAGTTTAAATCCATCAGTGACTCCTCAGAAACTCTATGCAGGATTGCTATGAGTCAGAACTGATGCCTTTTCTGCATCAATTGATATGATCATGTAAGTTTTTCCTTTATTTTATTTATGTGGTGGATTACATTGGCACTAAACAACAACAATGATAACGTCTAAAGAGGACTGATAATAGTATATGAGTATTATTAGTTTGAGAACAGAAAAATCAGTTGAAAAGCAACCTATTTATTTTATAATCATTGATTTACTACACATCTTTTTTGTATCCTGAAGTGACCAGTGTCTTTTGGGGTGTTTAGAAGTCATTGATGAAATCCTCATGATCTTCCTGCATCACATAGTCAATATAACATTATTGATATGCTTATTAATATTTTGATATTTATAGATATTTCCATTTTTATTTCTATATTGATAGAGTGATTATATCTGCCCAATTAAGTCTGTCATTCTCCCAATAGAGAGTGTACACATTGTTGACATATATTCAGGCTTCTTTATTGTTGTGTTAATAACCCTTTTTTGCTTGTTTTGGAAAGGGATTGAATTGGAAATTGTCAATAGCTGTGAAAATAACAATGGTGGTTGTTCCCATCACTGTGAAAATGCAGCTGGTGGACCCAGTTGTTCCTGTCACCATGGACACCAACTTGATTCAGATGAGAAAACATGCATAGGTAATGTATGGTACTGGTAACATAGGCAGGTAACTCTGGATTCATCTAGCTCTCAACAACGACTCAAATACTTAGTACTATAAGGCAAGCCACATCTCTCAAACTGCATGCAGAATGGATTGAATATGTATCTAGCTACTAGATAAATATAAAACAATGATGACTTGGTAGAAGATACCATTACATTTATATATTTACCTTGAAATTAAAGGAGATATAAAACATTTTAACAATATATGTAGAGTTAGTTTATTTATTTCAGGGAACTATTCCAAGGGCTACCTAATCAGAACTTATTTTTGTAATACAATTGCTGTCATGCATCTCACTTTTATCTACTTCCACAGAAATTAAATCATAAGCTGTCTTGGGTCACAAGAGATCCATTTCTAACTGTATCTTTAAGAATTTGTTGGTCAGTCAGACTATACTTATTTAGACTTACTTTGTTGTTTTTGTTGTTGTTATTGTTAAGTAGCTTCTGACTCATAGCAGCCCTGTACACGGTTTTTGAGGAGCTGTGACCTGGACTTACTTTAGTGCAAGAAAAAGCTCAAAGTCTTTTCCTTGATTTAAAAGCTGTAAGTGTAGCAAGTGAAGGTGATTGCGAAGAAGAATTTTTTGCAAGTAGGTGTTGGCTCAGTCATTTCAAAGTGAGGGCAAATTTACATAACATTAAACAGGGCTTCAAAGATGGTGGCACCCCACTCCAAGATGAAGGCCAACCAGGCTGCTTTGAATGTGTGTGGCTTTCCACAGTCCTGCCAATAGTCCCATATCAGGCCTCTGAAAAGTCTCAAAATGCCTATTCTGACTCTCTCATAGTGGCCTTTCAACCCATATTTTTTCCTGTTCTGATTACCATGACAAATCACCTAAATTGTGAAAATTCTAGTCTGTTCTTGTTTTGCTTTGTCAGCAATGATAGGACAGATTTGAAGCTCTGAATTAAAGAGTAAGTTGGAGTTATCTGTAAATAGGACATTTATAACCTAGGGACTGCCTGTGTGCATTGGTTTTCAATGGGGCAATGATTTGGATTCATGTTCCACTTTGCAATGGGAGGTGGTATATTTTAAAAGAAAACTTTTTAAAATACCATTCTTTTGAAATCACATCTCAAACCCATTTTTTAGTGGATAACTTTTCTAGCATATTATCAGAAGTTATATCATTTGGGACAATGAGAGGAATAAATTTGGACCCTAACCTTTTTCATCATGAAATGTTTAATGTGAAGCTTCTGAGAAAAAAAGAATATCCACTATAAAAGTTGAATGTGATCATTGAACTATATTACTGTGATTCTGCTTCTGAGAGCACTTTCAAGCCTCAAAAGCAGTGGTTTGCCATAATTCTGAGATCATTGTACCATATTTGGTTATTTTCCTAGATGAATTTTTGTTTCTCCTATCTTAAAATTTAGAATATGGGTACAAAAAAGTCTTCTGTGGGTTTCACAATAATTGATATAGTTACACATAATTTGAAGTATCAGGAAACAAGAGATCATTGTCAATGGTCTAAGTGTTTGGATGTGTGTTTTTGCAATATGAAGACAGGGTAAACATCAAGGAATTTTGTCATATTTTGATTTCAGACATAATTCAAATCAAAAGGATGTCACTGCTTGTATTTCCTGATCCAACATTGCTTTATATATTACTTTCAGAATCTGTAATATTTAACTTATTGAAACAAATTGTTTTTCCATGCTTCTTTTTATATACTAAAAAGCATGTTTGTATTTTTCCTACTTTGATAACTTTTCAATCTGTAAAAGAAATTAAAGACCTTTCTTTCCCTTCCTCTCTCTCTCATTCCCTCACTCATTTCCTTCCTACCTTCTGTCCTCCCATTCTTCCTCCCTTTGGTTCTGTTTGTCTGTCTGTCTGTCTGTCTTCCTCTTTTAAATTTTAGGTAAGGAGAACTGGAATTTTGTGAAATCTTTACTTTACAATTTATAATTAGATGTCTTTCCATATTCTTCCAAGAGTAAAATTCAGTATAGTCTTATTTACAGCTAGAAAAATAGTAGCATCTGCAGGAATCAAAATGTAAAGAATTGCATATTTATGAGATCTCACCAGTCAACATGACAATGTTAGCTTGTTTATACCTAAAGTTTACTTTATTTTTCAACAAAAAAAATGCCATTTGTTTCTAAAAAGCAAACACTCACTATGGCAAATACACTGATTAGTTTGGGGTGTACATACATTGGCCAAGAGCAAATTAAGGCTACAGATGTTTTGTAAAAAACATTCATGCAAGAAGGAAATTAAAGAATTTTCTTTTTAGCTTATTTCAGGATTAATTTTTTTAAAAAATATTAGAATGTGCAAAGCAATGTGAAAATTAAGACATCCAATCTGCAAATGGTCAATTATTCTTCCCACATGCAAGAACTTGTTAAATGTATGTTCAGCTTAGGTATGGCAGGTAGTATATTCTAAAAGAAAACTTTAAAAATATAATTCTTTGGAAATCACAGCTCAAATCCATTTTAAGATTTAAAAACCTAAAGATGTGCTAAAACATAACTTGGAAGACAGTTATGCAAAGTACTTATAAGTAGTAAGTTCATTAAACTTAACCTTGGCCTGTTATTGCAAAATATTTGTGATTTTTAGCCTTTGAAATTTTATTCAGTGATTAGATTGTCGTTCCTAAATGCTCTCCAAATCCATTTCCAAGAAGCAGCTGGTGGCTTTGACCATCCAACTTTGCAGCTAACAGTCCAGTGTTTATCCTGCATCACCACACAAAGACTTCTATATTAAGGAGTCCTGGTGTGGCGCTGTGTGTTAATGTGTGAGACTGCGAAGTCATTTGAACTGCAAGGTTGGCGGTTCAAGCTCACCTGCTGCTCTTTGGAAACCCTATATAGGGTCTCTATGGTTAGAATCGACTCGACGGCACTTAACAACAACAACACCTCATTCTTTCAGCTTAGTGGTTACGAGTCCAAGTGCTAACCTCACAGTCTGCAATTTGAAACTATCTGTGGTTCCCTGGGAGAAAGATGAGGCTTTCTGCTTCATAAAAATATATAGCCTCGGAAACCCTATGCAGGGGCGCTATGAGTCGGAACCAACCCCACAGCACACCACCATGCCATACCATAGAATATATGTGGAGTCCTGGTGTCGTACTGCAGGCTAATGTACTGGACTGCATGATTTGAACTAGAAGGCCAGCTGTTCAAGCTCACCAGCCGCTCCTCGGAAACCCTATACAAGGTCACTGTAAGTCAGCACCAACTCGAAGGCACTTAACAACAACACTATAGGAAATATCTGGTGTGGCACTGTGGGGTAAAGCACTGGACCACAAGGTCAGTTTGACCAACAGGGTTGACGGTTCAAACTCACCAGCCTTTCCTCAGAACCCCTATACAGGGTCACTATGAATCAGAACCAACTCGATAGCACTTAAAAACAACAACATAGAAAATATTAAGTTCTTGGAGATAGATTTGGTTTTCATGATTCCCTGATGTCAGAGCTAAAATGTTTGGTTGGTTTTTCTGGCTAAAAATGACACTCTACTTTTCACTGTATTTTATGTACCAGTGAATTTCTCTGCAATGTTACAGAAATTTAGTATATTTGGTATACGTTCTCTGCAATGTTTCAAAAGATACAATCATTAGAGAACAAGAAAATGAGGAGAGAATAGGAGGAAGCAAAGATATCACTAAATAAGGTCTGAATATCAATCAAGAGATATAAGAAACTGGTGATGTTGGAGTTGAAGAAACAGAATATTTTAATGTTGGAAGGATAAGGCTTCAAATGAATTCTGGATTGAGGATGGGATCCGTAAAGTAAAACAGAAATAGCTACAGATAGAGAAATCTGAAAAATATCATAAAATGACAGTCACACTAATGGGCTTATTTTCAAATTACTTGATGCAATTGTGTGTCTTGTTAGTTGAGAACACAGAATCATGACACCTATATTTGTAGAGGCCCAAGAAGTATCTGAAAAAACTTTTTAAAACTTTGGAAATAAAGAAAACCATAAATTGTAAACTTGGGGATTAAATGAAATTAAATTATAAAAAATATATATATGCATATTGCTGTCCTCTATTTCATAATAGGAGTCCTGGTGTGGTGCTGTAGGATAAATACTTGACTGCAAGGTTGGTTTGAACCACAATGTGGGCAGTACAAACTCACCAACTATTTCTTGGAAACCCTATACAGAGTCGTTATGAGTTGAACCGACTCCACAACACTTAGAATCAGCAGTACGGTGACCCCTTACCAAGATTGATCAATTCCATTTTCCTTTCTTCCTGTCCTTTGTCTAATGGGATTTTGTAACACTGATAGGCCATCCAGCAGAACATCTCAAACAAGCAAGGGGTTTGCACTGGATAAAGCAGGGTTTAGAGTCAAAGCCAAAAAAAAAAAAAAAAAGCCAGACCACACAATTTACAGGTTTTTAGCTAAAGACTCCTGGTGTAACACTGTAGGATTAGCATTGGATTGCAAACCAGAGGTTTGGTGGTTCAAACCCACCAGATGCTTCTCAGATGCCCTGTACAGTGGGCCTATGAGTCAGAATCAACTTGACAGCAGTTAATGACAACAACAGCCTACAACAGCCTATAGAAAACCGGGGACGAAAAAGTATCTGTTGCTACTCCTTGGCCAATTATGTTCATTTCAAAACTCAGGGCTTATAAATTATTTTTTTTGATGACATGAACTTGACATCTTCTGGTATATTTCTATTTCCCCTACGAAGAAACCTTCAAGATTGTAGAATTTTAGAATGAAATGTTGTTGTTGTTGTTAAGTACCATGGAGTCAGCTCCGGCTCATAGTGACCCTACACAGGGTTTCCAAGGCTGTAAATCTTTACGGGAGCAGAACGCCTCATCTTTCTCCCGAGGAACTGCTGGTAGTTTTGAACTGCTGACCTTGAGGTTGGCAGCCCGATTCATAACCAGTACGCTACCGGAGCTCTTTAGAATGAAAGGTTGAAGAAAATTTAAAGACCACTATATAGAAAACTGGAGTCCTGGTGTGGCGCTGTGGGTTAATGTGCCAGACTGCAAAGCCATTTGAACTGCAAGGTCGGAAGTTCAAGCTCACCAGCTGCTCCTTGGAAACCTTACACAGGGTCACTATGGGTCGGAACTGATTCGACAGCATTTAACAACAACAACAACAACATAGAAAACTAAGAAGCTCTGGTAGCATAGCGATTATAAATTGGGCTGGTAATTCAAAGTCAGCAGTTCAAAATCATAAGCCATTCTGAGGGAGAAAGATGAGGCTTTCTGCTCCTGTAAAGACTGACAGCCTCAGAAACCCTACACAGAGTCGCTATAAGTCTAAAGTGACTCCATAGCACATAACCACCACTACCATCTAGAGGACTATTCATCTGGCCCCACATTCCAGAGTATTGATGTTACAGGCTATAACAAAAATCCTAAAGTCTCATTCACCCCAGTCAAATCATCATCCAAAGAGTCAACAAATGCTTTGAAACATTCTAATTTAAATATATATATATTTAAAATGATGGTGGTTCCGCCTTCTCTCTTAACTGCAACTCTCACTTCTATTATCCATCATATGAGTTTCCTCAGTTTGGAAACACAAAAAGATGAAGTCTAGAAGAGCAAACACATGATGAAATCTAAGACTACCTTCTCTGTGCAACATCAAATGTTCAGTGGCTGGGATTTTTTTGGTTCTTTTTTCTCAAGCTTTTCTTTGTTCTTTAAATTCTGTTTATTCTATCAGTTTACTACTTAAGTTAGAAAAATAGCAAAGATCTTTTTTCATATATTTATAAATGCATTGAAGATTATTTACATACTTTTCAAATAACAGGCATAGAAAAAGTATGCAAAGAAACAAACTCTTAGGTGAGTCTCATTCTTAATTGTGTTATATTTTCTTCAATGCCTGTACTACTTGGCCGGAGAAATAGAAAGTGATTACCTAATAGTTTAAATTTAGAATGGTAGCAGGTCAGTTGTTCTTCAGAACCATGGTGTTTTCTAAAATAAAAATGTCATTTTTCTTTTCAGACCTTGATGAATGTGAGAGTGGAGAAGCCTGCTGTGCCCAGCTCTGCATCAACTACTTAGGAGGCTATGAGTGTGGTTGTAAGGAAGGATATCATATCAGTCCAGATGGTTGTGGATGTGATGGTAAATTCCTGAGGTCTAATATAAAGTGACTTATGTGGGTATCAATGGAGGGTGAACCTACTAGGGCCAAGGGCAAGAGTAAGGAAAAGGAAGGCTTCAACACAAAGATCTCAGTTTCCATGTGATTCTACCATTTACTATCCTGTGAATTTGGTCAAACCTCAGATTGTCATCATTAAAATAAAGATAGTAATAGGATTAGCAAGGAAATTAAAATAATAAACATAAAGTGTCTACAACTGTGGTTGATAGAGAAATCACTCAATTAAAAGTAGCCATTATTATTAAACTATTCATTGGCTCATAATTCCTTTCAGCTAATTTAATATCTGTAGCCAAATGAGAGATGCTTGCAAACCATAGCAGCCAGTTATAGGGATTACCCATAGCAAGCTTGACTGGTATTACAAAATTAGTTACTGAAAGTCCTTTTCAATGAACTTTTTAAATGAGAAAATAGTATCAAAAGAATTGCTGTGAGGTCAGTTCTCTGCCTTATTTATCTGATGTTAATGTAATTAATGCCAATTTTAAGATGTGTCATTTTATAATTTTTAATTTATTTGTCAACAATGATTCACCTCCCTTTCAGATGATTTTTAGCTAATATATTTAAAATTTAATCTTATGTAAGTTTGAATGCAGCAACTAGAATTAATTGATTTTTCTTTTCTACCATTGAGAATGGTGGTGGTGGTGCTTATGTGCTGTGGAGTCGGTTCTGACTCATAGCAACCCTGTACAGGGTTTCCAAGGCTATAAATCTTTACAAGAGCAGAAAGCCTCATCTTTCTCCCACAAAACAGCTGGCAGTTTCAAACTGCTGACCTTGAAGTTCACAGTCCAATTCGTAACCACTACACTACCAGAGCTAGGTCCTGTAAATTATTGTTGTGGTTTTATTTTTTAATTTGTCCTAAATGCATAATCTTGAAATATCCATTTTGGACCATTATTACCATTATTTTGAACCACAGTTTTATTTTGTTGTTTTTTTTCCCTTAGAATTGAAGCAAATACAAGAAGACTGATATCTATTCTAATAATAGTCAAATTAGGGAAAGAAAACTCTAACACCTGAGAGAAAGAGTTTTTCTATACCTAAAGAAACAAATTCTAAATTCTGTTGAGGGTCAATAGGTGTGTTTCTGCTATGCTGCATAGATATATATTCTAAACACAGTATAGCATATTACCATTTACTACATTCCATCCAATTAGCAGGGCCAGAAAAGAATGAGTCCAAAAATATGAATTTCATGTACCATCTGCTCTTAAACAGGGTAAGCCAAGAGAATATTGTATGGCATGAATGTACACAGTTACATATATGCATCCAAATGGAAAAGGTACCCACAATCTGAGCAAATTTCAGAAGCTCAGCTGTACTATGAATTTTTTGTATCATGAACATATTGACTAAAGTCTGTCTGAGACTTGGATAGACTAGTAAGTAAGCCATATGAAATCAAAGCTAAAGGTTCTTCTATCTTTAATATTCTCCACAATTTTCATATAGAAATATGCATGGGAAAGTACTCTGTTGTAGATAGTGAATAAACCAGGAGAGAATGAATATCAGCACAGTGGTGCACAGCCTGAGAACATTTCTATTGCAAGTTCTTCATCAAAACCTCATGATTTTAGTAAGATTTTATTCATGTAGATGAACTACAGTGAAATTAGGAATGTATGAAAGAAAAATAGAAGAGGACTTCAAAAAGTTCATGGAAAATGGAGCTGAGAGATAATAGAATTTTTCCATGAACTTTCTGAAGCCCCCTCATAATTGACAAGTTTTGTTTGAGTAGGCACTGTGGCTATGCATTTTCTTTGGCAATGTTGTTATTGTCATACCATGGTTAATAAAGTTTACAAAAGAAACATAATTATTTCCATTAGTTCATCGTGTCTACTTGATCTCTCAGAACCTAAAAACAGATGTTTTTGTAATTTTCCTAGATGTGGACGAGTGTCTGGATGTTAATATAGTCTGTGATCAACTGTGCATCAATTCTGTGGGAACATATGACTGTACTTGTGAAGAAGGCTATAGAATTGGAAGTGACGGGAAAACTTGCATCGGTAAGTCACTGTGAAGGATTTTATTTTATCTCCTCTAAACTACTTCGATGCTTTTCTTGTTCTGTCAGGAGCAAAGGAGAGCACATGTCCCTTAACTCAACCTGTCCTTCCCTTTCTATCTTCACAGACTGAGATCTTCTTTCTTTTTCTTTTGTTCTCTCTTTTGCAGTTTCAACTTAGTGCTGGCTGCTTCTCACCTACATTTACAATGGACTTTTTGAATTGGCCTTTTCAAAGAGTTTTACCTTTTGGTCCCCCCGCTGCGTTGGCTGTCTAGTTCAAACTGTCATTTCTCTCATCAACCCTTGCTCAGCTTTCTTTCTTTGAACCAGCATACTGAATCCAGGAATTGTCCTGTATGGTCTTAGCTTTAGATGATGATGAGTTAGAAGAAGATGAATTGGAAGTTGTGAGGTTCCCAGGCCTTGTATTTAAGAGCCCACCTCAACTGCTTCATTATGTTGCTGCCTCTGTGTCTCCTACCTATGAAGATGAGGAGGAGGAGGAGGAAGAAGATAAAGATATCCGAGGAGCACTTACTGCATTGGGCAAAGTTGGTAAGTAAAAGAAATTACCTCATTAAACTCACATATTTTCTTTATTTTTAGAAAATTCACTGACATTCTTGTAAAGAAATATCTCATTTTTCCCCGTTTTCCACTTCATTAGCCACCCTCCACCTTGCACCCTCACTTCTGTACATACCTATACTAAACCCATAGCCATCAAGTCAAATCTGAGTAACAATAACTCTATAAACAGAGTATAACTGTCCATAGGGTTCCCATGGCTGTAATCTTTACAGAAGATTGCCCCATCTTTTGCCCATAGAGTGACTAGTGGATTTGAACCACCAACATTTGAATAGCAACCAAGCTCTTTAACCACTACACCACCAGGGCTTCTTGAATATTTACTTATGCAGCACCCCTTTATTGTGCAAAGAAAAGAAGATAAAAGATGGTGGATTTGTTGGGAAGCTCTATAGAAGTGACTTTTGTCTCCACTTTCTTGCTAACATCATTAAAACATTTGATATTTAAATGTCTATACAAATATCTTTAAGTTAGCATCATTTCTTTCTATTGCATTATCTTCTCTACTCAAATATCTTTAAAAATGGGGGAAATGATTTGGTCTTTTTCCTTCTTTTAATTAATAAAGAAGGAAGCCACATTTTTTTCTTAAAATTTACATATTTAGCATTAAAATCTAGACAATTTCCAGAGTTCAAAAAACAGTTTTGATTGTCCAATATGCTTAAATTTTTGTTGTTGTTGTTAGATGACATCGAGTTGATTCCGTATCATAGTGACTCCATGCACAATAGAAGGAAACATTGGCCCGGACTTCACCATCCTCACAATTGTTACACTTCAGCTTCTTGCTGCTGCCACTGTGTCAATACATCTCATTGGGGGTCTGCTTCTTTTCACTGACCCACCATTTTACTAAGCATAATGTCCTTCTCCAGAGTCTGGTCCCTTCTGATAATATGTGAGAGACGAAATCTCACCATCCATGCCTCCAAGGAGCATTATAGTTGTACCTCTTCCAACACAGATTTGTTTGTTCTTCTGGTAGTGGAAGACACTTTCAATATTCTTCTCCAACACCATAGCTCAGATGCATCAAATCTTCTATGGTCTTCGTTATTCGTTGTTCAACTTTCCCATGCGTATAAGGCTACTGAAAATTCCATGGCTTGAGTCAGGTACACCTTAGTTCTCAAATGGACTTTTTTTTTTTTGATCTTGAACACTTTAACGAGGTCTTGTGTAACAGATTGACCCAGTGCAATGCATTGTTTGATTTATTGACTGCTGCTTCCGTGAGTGTTGACTGTGGACCCAAGAAAAATGAAATTTTTGACAACCTCAATTTTATCTCCATTTTGCATGGTGTTATTTATTAGTATAGCTGTAAGGACTTTTGTTTTCTTTACACTGAGGTGCTGTCTGTACTGAAGATCTTTGATCTTCATCAGTAAGTGTTTTAAATTCTCTTTGCTTTCAGCATGCAAGGTTGTGTCTTCTGCAGTCTGCATATATCTTCTTCATATAACCCAACTTCACAGATTATTTGTTCCGCATACAGATTGAATAAGTATAGTGAAAGATTACAACCCTGGCACACATCTTTGCTGATTCTAAACCATTCAATCTTCCCTTGTTCTGTTTGAATGACTGCCTCTTAGTCTGTGTACAGGTTCCTCATGCACATAATTAAGTTCTCTAGAATACCCGTTCTTCAGAATGTTACCCGTAGCTTGTCATTATCCACACAATCAAAAGTGTTTTCATAGTTAGTAAAGCACAAGTAAACATCTTTCTGGTATTCTCTGCTTTCAGCTAAGATCCATCTATTGTCAGCAATGATATCCCTAATTTCATGTCCTCTTTTGAATCCAGCTTGAATTTCTGGCAGTTCCCCAAACAAAAACTTACTTGCATGTGATATTAATGATATTTTCCAATGAATTCCACATTGTGTTGAGTAACTTCTGTTTGGGATGGGCCCAGATGTGGATCTCTTCCAATCGATTGACCAGGAAGCTTTCTTCCAAATTTCTTGACAAAGATGAATGAGCCCTCTGGTGCTGCATCAGTTTATTGAAAGATTTCAATTTGTATTCCATTGTTTCTAGGAGCCTTATGTTTCAGCAGTGCTTTCAGTCCAGTTTGGACTTCTTCTTTCAGTACCATCAGTTCTTCATTATGTGCTACCTCTTGAAATGGTTGAACATCGACAATTTCTTTTAATACAGTGATTCTGTGTTTATTCTCCATCTTCTTTTGATGCTTTCTGCATCATTAAATATATTGCCCATAGAACCTTCTGCACCAAGTCAAGGTTTAAATTTTTTCTTCAGTTCCTTTAGCTTGAGAAATACTGAGTGTGTTCTTCCCTTCTGATTTTCTAACTCCATATCTTTGCACATTTCATTATAATACTTGACTTTGTCTTCTTGAGCTGCCCTTAGAAATTTTCTGTTCAGCTCTTTTACTTCATCATTTCTTCCTGTTGCTTTAGCTTCACTACACTCAACTTCTGAATTCCATTTTGGTATTTTCTTTCTTTCCTCTCCTTTTAATGACCTTTTGCTTTCTTCATGTCTGATGTTCTTGATGTCATCCCACAACTCTTCTGGTTTTTGGTCATTTGAGTGTACTGCATCAAATTTTCAAAATCCTGTCAACATTTCATTATTTCCATTCTTGTTGATCCATTTCCAATCATTTAGTTTCTTTGTCTCTACTACCTTCTAACCTCTCCCCACTCTAACACACACCTTATGCCTACCCCTTCTCATCTTGGATTTAGGATAAATGCTGACTATTGAATCTCATATAGATGATTATGTGTTTCATTGTTGTTTTTTAATGAGCATAGTATTCATAGATGATATTGTTTATTTGCTCTGGACCACATGGTCGGTTTGAGCTGCAACATCAGGGTTCACACTCACCAGCCACTACTCTGAAACCCTATACTGGATCACTGTGAGCCGGAACTGACTCTATGGCACTTAACAACAACATCTGTTTTTTTTTTTTTCTTTTTTTTAAGTTGAAAGGTGCCCTCCAGGAACAGATTTAGTTCCAAGTTTAATGGCTATCTCTAGATGGTAATCTTGGGGTTCCTCTAGTCTCTACAAGTCCAGTAGTGGTGTTGGGGGTTGTGTACCATCAAGTCAGTCCTGACTCAGAATGACCTGTATAAGGTTTATGAGGCTGTAAACTCTGCAGGAGCAGGAAAATCTCATCTTCCTCCCACAGAGCAGCTGGTAGATTCTAACTGCTGACCTTAAGGTTAGCAGCCCAATTCATAACCCATTTTGACACCAGGGCTCCCTCTACCAGTCTAGGAATCTGTCCTTTTGTTGGAAAGAATTTCAATCTTGTTCTAGTTTTCTCTCATTCTACCTGAGACCTCTATTGTGTTCCTGGCCAGAATATTGGTAGTGGGAACCAGATACCCTCTAGTTCTTCTGGTCCCAAGACAGATAAGGCTATGGTTCATGTAGACAATTAGTCCTGTAGATTAGTTACGTCTTTGACTCTTTGGTTTCCTTCATCTTCTATTTCTCTAGATGAATAGAGAGCAATAGTTTTATAGATGGCTGCTCAGAAGCTTTTAAGAGCTCAGATGCTACTTGCAACCTAGAATATAGACCATAAATCAACATATACTTTATAATTACATTTATAGATATGTGGTAGTGGTGGTGGTGGTGTATTCTGGCGTCAGATCTGACTCATAGCAACCCTGCATAGGATTTCTGAGGCTGTAAATCTTTACTGGAGCAGAAAGCCTCACCTTCCTCCCATGAAACAGCTGGTGGTTTAAAACTGCTGACCTTGAGGTTAGCAGCCCAATTTGTAATCACTAGATGCCAGAACTCCTGTTTATATACATATATAAAGTCCAAAAATAAAGATGATCTTTTGTTATAGAAATCAGGATAGCATTTAATCTGTGAAACTAATGATAGAAGCATCAAATTAACTCAAGGTTTTGGTGGGCTAGTATGTTCTATCACATCATCTAGT